TAATGTATTTTTAAAAAATTTATACATTTAATTTACAATCATAATTTCATCCAAATTGATTAATAAACATTTATCTTTTAAGTTCTAGAGTAATGTATTTTAGTCTTTAAATAAATTTTATTTACTTTAAATGATTCATCATAAATTTCAAAATTGACAATTATAATTTCCAACGTTTCCAAATATGCTACATTGTAAATACAAAGTAATTTCTATATTTTTATTTAGGTGATTAAATAATTGATTGAAATGTCATTGACTGGAAAAACTACATAATTTCTAATTCCGCAAAAATTTTCTATTTCTCGGGTTAAGCGCATGAAGCCTTTCTCACCAAAATTCTTTCCGTAACTATTCTTAATTATCCAATACTTTCCATGTGTTTCATCTACTCCAAATCCAACAAGTAGAACTGCATGATTAATATTTTCCGAGCAGTTCTCATCTTTGTAGATACCAAACTTGTAATGTTGAAATGAAAACAATGATGAGTCGATCCCAACAGTTAAAGGGCCAACTGAATTATTAAATAAGATTAATGAACTTTGATATTAATACTTATTTGGTCTTGTGATAATAATTTTTCAAATAATCACCTGAATATAAAATATCCCTTAAGAAATCATCAGTAGGGAGTCTAACTTGACGATAATCGCTAATATTAGCAACTTTCGTAGATGAATCGTACAGACAAGACTTAAGTTCTTTTGCTTTATATTTATAGTTCCTTTCAATTGTTATTCCATTGTCTATGATGTATTTGAAAGTATTTGCAGTATTACCGTAATTACATCCAAAATTTCCATAATTCTTTGAGCAGTCTACGAGTTGTTGATTTGAAAGTTCAAAAAGTTCATTCGTTCTTAAAAAGATTTGAGCTTCAATTGCATCTGAAGCTGAAAAGAAAATTATTTAAGGTATAATAAATACATTTTAAATAAATAGATTTACCTGCAAATGCATAACAGCTTGCACAATTTTCTATAAATAATAAGAAATTAAAAAAAATAATAATAAAGATTCTATTTTAATACTCTGATTTCCAACTTCATTTACGGCACCTATCGAAGTCCAATCAAAATTTTCTTCTGTTGGAGAAACTATTACATAGCCTCCTAAAGAAAATAACAACGACCTCTGTAACATTAAGGTTTCTGGCTCGGATGGAACCAATCCATTTAGAAGTTTATTATTCTGTTCCACAGTGCAACAGCTGTTTTCCCAAGTAGATCGGAAGAGCGTCGTGTAGGGAAAGAG